GTGCACGTCACACACATATTTATACAGACATACAATAAATTTCCAATTCCCAAAAGCAATTTGCCTCGTCTCGTTACGTAAATAATTCTCATCCTGATTTATTCTAAATCATCCTCTCACAATAATTTATCCCACATACATAGAATATCTTGAAAAAGGCATTTGCCTCTCGCATTAATGCTTGATCGTTAATAGTATTCATTAATAAATTTTGTTAATTATGCCGTCTAGAGAAAAAAAAAAAAAGTAAAAAAAAATAATAAAAAGAACAATACAAACAAAGAAAAGGATTCCAAGAAAAATTCACGCGTAATAATGTTTCATTCGTATCTAAACGTTTCGTGGGATAGTATGAATAAATTGTTTCGTTTGGGACGAACGAACGTTTAAACCTTTTCAACGGGCTGTTTGACTATCAATAATTCATCGAGATTTCCATAATCGTAAAGAATTTTAAAAGGAGGGAGGAGGTTGAGGGACTCTTTAAAATCAACGCGGTCCATTCCATTCCATTTCATATCGTACCGTTCCGTTCCATTCCGTTTTCGCGAGGGGGCAATTAGTTGGAAAAGTTACAATTAGGGGTTGACGTTCCTTTTTTTTTTCTTCTTCTTCTTTATCTCCCTCTATCTCTTTTTCTCAATTTTTTTTTTCCCTTAACCATGAAAAGACCCGAATGACTAACGAAGATCCTTATCTACCAGGGCAAACTAGGAGAGACCGTAAACGTCTCTGACGCTTAATATGCTTAGTTTATGGCGTACGATATTCCGTGGTGTAGACCACGAAGACCATAAATTCGAAGGCCGCCCTTGGTGCCACCCGTTTCCACGCCGGCTGTCTGCCCTCTCTACTTCTCATGCAATAGTCTCTCTCTCTCTCTCTTTCTGTGTATTTATGTACGTACATACGTACACACATGTGTGTATATATGTATTTATATATGTATGTGTGTGAGTGAGTGAATAAGTTGGTGCATCAAGAATGGTGACTCATGAGACGAGAAGTTTGCTCGTGTTAAACGACAACGATTTTCGTAACGCTGTACTCAACGAGATCGCAAATACGAGGAGGAGGATATCGGAGTGACGACGAGTAAGAGATTACTTGATTTTTCATCACCCTTTTCCTTTCTATCCCCTTCCTACTCCTTCTCCTTCATCCTCTTTGTAACGTCGACTTTGCTTTCGTTCAACAATCGATAGATAAACGTTATACATGATTCCACTTATTATTTCTTTATATATACATATATATGTATATGTATATAATGTACGTATGTATGTATACATGTATATGTATGCTGGGCATCAATTTTTCTTTTTTCTTTTTTTTTTCCATTTTTTTATATCTATCCGAATTTTTTCGCCGAAATTTTAATTTAATTAATGACACAATGAATGATAAGTTTCTACGATTTAGAACAAATAATATTCTTAATCAATTATAATACAGATAATTGGTAAAAATTGTAGTCTTCTTTTCCTTTTTCTATTTTTACATTTTTATGAATTTCTTTTTTTTTTTCTTTTTTTCTTTTCTTTTCTTCTTTCTTTCATATCTCATTATTAGACTCGATCGATTGACAATTTGATGGATAACGATTTCAAAGGAGATTCGTAGAATCGTTTAACGCGAGTAAAAATTCAAATGACGTCTGTCAATGGACTGAGAGAAAAAAGAAGAGTAAAAAAAAAAAAAAAGGATGTATCAACGAGACACCCTATGTGAAAAATGATATATGCGTACGTAAGTCGTCCATAAAGTAGATACATATATTTGCACGCCACTGGATCTGAATTCCTCTTCTTTTTTTTTTTCTTTTCTTTTTTTAATCGCAGAACGCCAACGATATCCTTGATAAAGTTATCCGCATGGATAGGTGTTGAAATTGGAACCGGAAGCCGTTAAGATAAGATTCATGTTTGTGTAGCGAAGAGGAGACACGACCATTCGAGAGTACAAGAGGTATCCTTTCTTATTCATGCGATTATGATACCGAGTTTTATCAATGGGCTTTGAAATAATTTGTAAAATGACTTACCTCTGGCTTCGCAACGAAGGAAATGTCAGCAGCGATCGTAAAAAAGAAAAAAAAAATAAATAAATAAATAAATAGTAAAAAAAAAGGAAACGAAAAGATCGCATAAAAAAAAAAAAGAAAGAAAGAAAGAAAGAAAGAAAAAAAATACGATCCTTTCTTCTACGAGAGAGGAAATAAAAGAAGTAACATAAAAAAAAAAAAAAAAAAAAGAAGAAAGAAAGAAAGAAAAAGAACGATCATTAAAAGGGAAAGGATGATAATCGAAGAGACGTATAAGGTAAAACTCAACGAGCGTTAAATAATAGTAAAATGTATTAAAAATCGTATACAATTTTGATTTAGAGATATTATACTCGTATCATTTTAATATATATATATATATATTTTTTTTTTTTTGTTATCATAGACAATCCGGTACGGTCGAAGATCCATCTCGTTAAATCGTTTTCTTTTTAT